TTTTTTTCTTTGTTCGAGGGCCAGGAATTGCTTTTTTTTTTAATTACCCTCTCGTTTTTTTTTCTTTTTCCCCTCCTTCTTTTGTTGCTCTCTGGGGCCTCGTCCCACTCGCAAAGTATTCTACGATGTGTGATAGCGTTTTCAAGTGGTTTTAAAACGAATCAAACAAAATGCACGAACACACAAGATTTTGCCAATCACTTTTCTCGAAAGCAGTGGAGCGAGAAAAATGTGAATGAACTGTGCCGAGTAAGAGTCCAAATGCATGTGCATACTAGCGAGAAAAATGTGAATGAACTGTGCCGAGGAAGAGTCCAAATGCATGTGCAGTATTATCCTCACGTTGCCACGCCCTACGTCCTGACTGCAATAAAACCGCCACGTCTGACGGAGCAAAAGTAACTGCCCATAATTTTTTTTTTCTCGGGTAGTATGGCAAGGCATAGGGCCTCGCTGCACTACTCTCGAAATGTGCAAAACTAGAGTGAATCTTCCACTAGAATATGGAAAGATGCACCCCCATGATTTTTGTTGTTTGTGCATGTCGAGAGTAGTGCAGCGAGGCCCATAGGGGCTCGTTCGACACTCCTCCGGCACGCAAAGTCCCCGAGGAATTGTTCGTTCCACCTGTCCTCGGGGATGCAGTCGGCCAAAAAAAAGTGAAAACACTCCGAAGGAAATTCCTTGGGCTCCGAGGATTCCCCAGCCATTTCTTCCTTTTGCCCAAGGGACCTCACGAGGAAATTCTTTGGGCTCCAAGGATTCCCCAGCCATTTCTTCCTTTTGGACCTCACGAGGTCCCTTGGGCAAAAGGAATCCGCTTTTCACGGAGAGGAGCACAAGGAACGAACAACAAGGCAACCACACTACAGTGACTACAGGACAGACAAGCGGCAACCACGGAAGGCACAGCCAGCGGATGAGCAGCATAGCAGCGAAGCAGCGAAGCGCGAGGCAACACCAACAACACAGCCACACCACGCAGTGGACACAACAATTCGCAGAGAGCCACATGCGAAGCAAGCGGGACAGGCAGCAAGGTGGCGGCGGAGCGCAGACGAGGACGCCCACACATCCAACACGCAGCAAAGCAGCACATGACCTACTCACATCACGATTGAACCCCACAGACAGTTGGTTCCAACCACCCACTGAGCCTGGGAGTCACTCCGAAAAACGTCCGTCATCACCGACAGGCAACGCAGACATCCCGAACCGAGTGGCCCCCATAAGACTGCAGTAGGCACTTCACCGACTGTTTGACTCAACTTAAGGGTGCTCAGTTGGGCACACACAAAAAATACTTAGAAAAAGTCAGGGGGAGAACAGACAACAGAAGAAAAAATGACAGAAATCAAACTGATTTTGTGTGTGTGTGTGTGTGTGTGTGTGTGTGTGTGTGCTGGGGGGAGGGTTGAGAGGACCTCCCCCACCAATCAATCAATCACTCAATCAACCAATCAATCAATCAATCAATCAATCAATCAATCAATCAATCAATCAATCAAAAACCAATAAAGCAATCAATATTTATTTCATGGTAACCGTCTGGACGTCCGGACCGGGTTCCAGACAGTCCGGTGTCCGGTGTCTGGTCCTGATGTCCGGATGGAGGCCCCTGGGGAGAAAAAAAAAAAAAAAAAGGGGGCGGCCCAGGATGTTTATCGGGTCCTGGCCACCCCTCGAAAAATAACGGAGTGAATTTTCAGTGTCATTTCACCCCACCGGACAGGGCCTAGAGGTCCGGACGCAAGACACTGCAGGTTTCTGGGGTGGTGGGTTTCACACAGGCCCGAGCAATTTCAAGGCGCCCGCCGCTCCTGCCCGTTGGAGAGAGAGAGAGAGAGAGAGAGAGAGAGAGAGAGAGAGAGAGAGAGAGAGAGAGAGAGAGAGACAGAGACAGAGAGAGAGAGAGAGA